TTGGGGGCGGATTTGGGGTGGAATTTGGGTTTTTTTAATGGATTTTGGGGCCGTTTGGGAGTGATTTTGGTGTCCCCCCCCGACCTTCAGCCTCGCTGCCGTCGCTGTCGTCGGAGCTGAGCTCCAGATCCTCCTCCAGGTCGTGGATTCGCAGAGCTCCTCCCTTGGCCCCCCCTGGGCCCTTCCTCCCTTTCTCCTTGTCCTCCTCCTCCTCGTCCTGGTCCCGCAGCCGACGTTGCTGCATGATGCTGAAGTGGTTCAGCACCTTGTTCCTCCTGGGGAGACCACAGGGGGGTCAGAGGGGTCTGGGACGGGGTCTGGGCTGTCCCCCCCGGATTTTTGGGGTACCTCTCCCACTCCTCCTCAGCCTCCTCGGCCGTCAGGGTCCTGTGCCTGGCCAGGGGGGTGAAGTTGTACCAGCTCCTCACGGGAAAGGCCTCGAAGGCTCCGTCGGGGCACTGAGTGAAGATGTAGTAAGAAGCGTTTTCTGTCACTCCTCCTTTCTTCACCCCACGGAATCTGGGAATGGGGGGAAAGAACAGCCCAAAAAACAGACTCAGCACCACTGGAAATCCTTTAGCCCATCCCAACCCTATTCCCATCCCATCCTGTTCCCAGTCCCATCCTCATCTCATTCCCATTTCTGGTCCTATTCCCATCCGAATCCTTATCCCATCCAACCTCCAACCTCTTTTCCATGCCCATCCCACTATCTCATTCCCTCCCCATTCCCACTCACTTCCTCCCCCTTCCCGTTGACCCTGAGGATCCAGGACCACAATCCCCAGAGGATTATCCCATTTCCTCTGCCTTATCCCTCCCCATTCCCACTCACTTCCTTCCCCCTTCCCACTGACCCTGAGGATCCAGGACCATAATTCCCACAGGATTATCCCTTGTTCCCTCTGCCTCATCCCTCCCCATTCCCACTCACTTCCTTCCCCTTCCTGTTGACCCTGAGGACCCAGGACCACAATTCCCACAGGATTATCCCATTTCCTCTGCCTTATCCCTCCCCATTCCCACTCACTTCCTTCCCCCCTTCCCGTTGACCCTGAGGATCCAGGGCTGTTCCTCGGGGCGAAATTCCCGGAGGATTATCCCATGTTTCCTTCTCCTCGCCTCCTCCCTCAGGCGCCGATGGAATTCGCTCCCTGCTCCCGACTCCGGCAGCTCCTCCTCGGCATAGATCCTCTTATTGCTCAGATCCCTCTCCATCCGTGCCTGGAACGGGATCAGGATTGGTATTGGGATGGATCCAGGGCTGGGAACGACTCCTGACAGCCCCAGATGATCCAATCCCAACCCCAGATCACAAAATTCCCAACCGAAATCCCAAATCTTCCTTCATATGTGCATGGAGAGGGGACTGGGAGTGGATCCCAGTCCGGGAATGGCTCCTTGGGACTTCAAATCCTGGAATTCTTATCCCACTGGCTGCAAGGAACACCATTCCCACACCTCCAAATCCCAACATTCCCAACCCCAATCCCAGAAAGGATAGAGCAGCACTGGATCCCAGAACATCCCCTGGATCCAGATCCATCACCACCAATCCCAACATTCCCACGGGGATGGAGCAGCATTGGATGCCAGCACATCCCCTGGATCCAGATCCATCACCACCAATCCCAACATTCCCACGGGGATGGAGCAGCATTGGATGCCAGAACATCCCCTGGATCCAGATCCATCATCAATCCCAACATTCCCATAGGGATGGAGCAGCACTGGATTCCAGAACATCCCCTGGATCCAGATCCATCACCACCAATCCCAACATTCCCACGGGGATGGAGCAGCATTGGATGCCAGAACATCCCCTGGATCCAGATCCATCACCAATCCCAACATTCCCATGGGAGCAGAGCAGCACTGGATTCCAGAACATCCCCTGGATCCAGATCCATCACAAATCCCAAGACACCCATGGGGATGCAGCAGCACTGGATCCCAGAACATCCCCTGGATCCAGATCCAAAGGCTCAGGTTGGCTCCAGAGGCTCTGGGATCAGGATCAGGATCAGATCCAGGACCACCAATCCCAACATTCCCATGGGGATGGAGCAGCACTGGAGCCCAGAACAACATCCCCTGGATCCAGATCCATCACAAATCCCAAGACACCCATGGGGATGCAGCAGCACTGGATCCCAGAACATCCCCTGGATCCAGATCCAAAGGCTCAGGTTGGCTCCAGAGGCTCTGGGATCAGGATCAGGATCAGATCCAGGACCACCAATCCCAACATTCCCATGGGGATGGAGCAGCACTGGAGCCCAGAACATCCCCTGGATCCAGAGCCAAAGGCTCAGGTTGGCTCCAGAGGCTCTGGGATCAGGATCAGGATCAGATCCAGGACCACCAATCCCTGCATTCCCACGGGGATGGAGCAGCACTGGAGCCCAGAACATCCCCTGGATCCAGAGCCAAAGGCTCAGGTTGGCTCCAGAGGCTCTGGGATCAGGATCAGGATCAGATCCAGGACCACCAATCCCAACATTCCCATGGGGATGGAGCAATGTTGGATCCCAGAACATCCCCTGGATCCAGATCCAAAGGCTCAGGTTGGCTCCAGGGGCTCTGGGATCGGGATCAGATCCAGGACCACCGATCCCAACGTTCCCACCTGCCAAGGGATACCAACATTCCCGGGACCTCACCTGGCTCCAGGTGCTGAAGGTGACTCTGTCCCCACTGTTGAAGGCCATGATGTTGTACCTTTTGGAGGTGTTCCTGGAGGGGCACAGCAGGTCAGGGACCCCCAAAAAATCACCCACAGAACCCCCAAAATCCCCTGGGAACCCCCAATGCCCACCCAGGGACCCCCTAAACCTCACCTGGGACCCCCCAAA